CCCTGTCTTGAGACATGCCACCACCACCACCCCCCAAAAAAAAGGAAGGAAGGAAGGAAGGAAGGAAGGAAGGAAGGAAGGAAGGAAGGAAGGAAAAGACTACTACAAGGAGAAAGTGAGGAACACAGAACTGAGGCAGGAGGTAAAGCGGGCTCGCGGGAGGGGTTTCAACTAGGCCAGGAGCACAAAGCCACCACCCACAGCCTGCAGGACCCCAGGACCACGGGGTGGGGGTGGGGGGTGGGAATTAGCTGGGAGGCTCTTTGTTACATAGCGGGAGCTCCACATCCTCTCTTTTTAGTTGGGAGAAGCTGAGAAGGTAGTCAGGACTTGACAAGAATCCCAGCCCAGGCATGGCGCTGCACACCTGTGATTCCAGCACTTGAGATGCTGAGGCAGGGGGATTGCCATGAGCTTCAGAACAGCCAGGGCCACACAGCAAGATCTATCTCAATAACAACAACAACCAGAAAGAGCCAAGGACAGTGGCCCAAGTCGGGAATCCCAGCACTTGGGAAGTTGGAAGCAGGAAGAACAAGGGTTCAAGGTCATCTTCAGTTACACAGGGCCAGTTTGAGCTTGAAAATCCCAGTTGCCGCTGGAACCCACAGTGGCTTCTGCAGAGAGTTCTGCATCCCCCTCCCCCCTTTTTTTTTGATACAGTACATGATGGGGACCCTGAGGGTCAGAAAGCAACTTCTTCTTCACCTTCTTCACAGAGGCAAGTGGAACACTAGAAGGACGAAGGGCCACCAGGAACAGAGGACAGCAGCCAGGCCCCCCCCCCCGGGGGGTGGGGAAGGTTTGGGGGACCTGCCCTGGCTTAGCTGGCAGGGCCTGAGGAGAGGGGAGCTCTCCTTTGGTGAAGTAACTGGACTCGGCAGTTGGAGGTGGCACTCCTGCCAGGGGAAGCGGGTGAAAGCTGAAAACCAACGCAGCAGGGGCCATGCAGCCCAGGACTGTCCCAGCCTGGCACAGTACCTGCAGCAGAGCCTGGCCGAGGAGGGCTCCACACCACTCCCAGGAACCAGAGCCTTGCAGGGCTGGTGCCTGGGCCTGATGCTGTACTGGAGGTCACCACGGACAGGGAAGATTCCAGCAGGCCCCGCCTCTTCCCGACTTGGCAGGAACCACATCCACACTTGCCTTTCATCTTCTTGGTCCATCCATTCCTCCTTTCTTCTTTGACTCTTTTTGGTGAGATAACAGACTGGAGGTGGGGACAATTTAGTTCTCGTTAGGAAGGAACAGAACCTGAGGAGCCTAGACTCACATCAGGCCTCCCTCTCTCCACACACAGACCCCCTACAACAAGCTCAGCTCAGGCTGAGGCTCAGAGGCCCCACGGCAGGTCTTGGCCTTGGAGTCAAGGTCAAGTTCCCCGGCAAGCTTTGCTGACTTAGGAAAAAGCAGCAAGACGGTCTTAAGGATCCCTCAGACCCCCTCGGCTTGTTGGCCGTGGGACACAGGGGCGAGCGAGCAAACGGGAGGGCTGGGGGCAGGGGAGGGAAGCGAGCAGTAGCCATCAGCAGCTTCACAGGGGTTTCCAGACAGGAAGTGAGGAGGCCCCCTCCGGAAGGGAAGCGGAACTCTTTCTGTGATGATGAGTGCCAGCCAACCAAGCCTCAAACTCCTGGGGGCTGAGGAAGCCTAGGAACACCTGGGCCGATCATGAAGATAACAGAAACGCCTCTGCCACTAAAGTGACACAACCCAGTTGATGAACACTGGCTCGCACCAAGTGACTGAACAGGAAGAGGAACGTGGACAGACTGGGAGTGCAGGGAGGGAGCCCTTACTCAAGGCAGCCCTTGTGAGGTCCGGGGTCCCGCTCCCCAGCTAATAAAAAACGATAACAATATTTCCAGAAAGTGCAAATTTTGCCCAAGACAAAGACACTCAAGATTAAATCTGCCATAACACTGTGGACCTATTCACTGTCATCAGCAGTGAGAATCCCGAGGAATGTTCAGTCAGCCAGGTACTGAGACCTCGGGGCAGCAAGCACTACAACTCCCTCAGACTCCAGTTGATCACAGCTCAGGTATACCCTGGAAAGACGTCTTGGCACAAGCCAAGGAAACGAAAGAGGATGGACAGACAGCAGGAAGCAGAGGACTGACAAACGAGCGTTCTCTCATGCACACCGCATGCGCACCGGTAATAAAAAGCTAGAGCTCTGTACCTGGTTAAGACGTTGCTGCGGTTGTCCCCTTGTGTCAGCAGGCACGGGTGCAGACCTGTTAGCTTATGGCGCTCTCGGAATGTTCGATTATCCACTCAATGGCAGCCCACCCCTGCAACGACACAGAAGGACTTCAATTCCTGCTGCATGCAGCAAGGCACTGACCTGCGACGCAGGAGGGAACTCCCGTGGCAAAGATGTGGCAATAACTTTCCTGAGTCACGGTCCACGTAAGCAGGGTATTCAAGCCCAGAAACACGATGGGATGTTTTCAATGCCTAGATTTCTCCAGTGAGTTAAAGAATGCACCAGCTTGGGCTCTCCCAAAGTCGACACCCCTTAGGCTAACAGCAAATCCACACCCGAGGGAGACCTAAGACATCCCCAAATCCCAGAGCCAAAGCTGCCGTGTGGAGACCAGAGAGACTGGAATGGTCTTCACAGCAATAGTAACCGACTAGGACAGATGCCTTTGCCCTCAGATCCCAGCCAGCCTTTCTGTATCTCTAGTTTGAAACAGAACATAGTCCTATTCAAGCTACATTCCCACTAGAAAAACACAGTGGGGGGTATGCTGTGGCCTTACGAGCTCAGCTACAAAGACCCCAGTCCTCAGGAGGACCAGACATGTCACCACTTCAGCTGGCACATTACCACCGAGTGCACCAGGCCCCACCCTGAGGTATGCACCTTCTTGGCATTGGAGGATATCGTGTTAGCCATTAGGCTTTCCAGATAGCTCCCAAGGCTAATCCCCTTCACAGTGATGATGGCTTCTTGGGTGAGCACAGTCCTGCAGAAGAGCAGAAGTGAGGGGCTGATCAACCTGAGAAGGAGGCTCCATCCTCCCCTGCTGTTCCATGTGTCCATCCCAGGAAGAGATGACTCACTTTTCAGGGTTCTCTGGATGAGGTGTGTACACCAGTCTCTCGTTCACTGACACCAGATTCGTGAGTGTGATCTTTAAAAAACAAAATGAACAAACACACATAAAAAAATTTTTTTAAAGGCCAGTAGCGCAGTGGTGGCACACCTTCAATTCCAGCACTTGGGAGGCAGAGGCAGGCTGATCTCTGTGAGTTTGAGGCTGGCCTGGTCTACAGAGTGAGTTCCAGGACAGCCAGGGCTACACAGTAAATCCCTGTCTCGAAAAACCATATATATATATATATATATATATATATATATATATATATATATATATATATATATATATACATATATATATGTTATTATATATATAATAAGTTGCTTATTGTTGTTGTTGTTTTGAGACAGGGTTTCTCTGTGTAGTTTTGGTGCCTGTCCTGGATCTTGCTCTGTAGACCAGGCTGGCCTTGAACTCACAGAAATCTGCCTGGCTCTGCCTCCTGAGTGCTGGGATAAAGGTGTGCGCAGCCACCACCGCCCAGCTTTCTGAGTTTCTTATATTTCCTTCCAAACCATCTATATTTCCAGCCCCAAATTAGCACTTATGAAAGCCAGAGAAAGGAAACATCCTGTGCCACCAACCCCCTCTGCACTGTGTGCTAGGGACAGACTGGGCAGCTTCTTCTGATGATTATTAATCTCTCCCTCCCCATACCTGAGGAGGGATCTGCCTTCAAGGCACCCATACACTGCCAAGCCCATCGGCAGCCATGAGACAGACAATTCCCAATTAGTGTTCACAGTAACAGTAGTGAACTTTCCTGTTTTTCTTTTTTCTTTTTTGGTTTTACGAGACAGGGTTTCTCTGTGTAGCTTTGCGCCTTTCCTGGAACTCACTTGGTAGCCCAGGCTGGCCTCGAACTCACAGAGATCCGCCTGGCTCTGCCTCCCGAGTGCTGGGATTAAAGACATGCACCACCACCGCCCAGAACTTTCCTATCCTTGTGCCAAACTGGATTGGGGGTCCTGGCTCTGGACTGGATGTGCTAGGTGTCGGGATCCACACAGAAGCTTCGGCAGCCTTGTCTCCAGCTACTTCCGGTCAGCAAGCTGACTTACTGTTCGTATTTGCTACTAAAACCTACCTAGACCAGTGAGATAGCTCCACAGATAAAGGCGCTTGCCACACAGGCCTAGCAACCTAAGTTTGGTTCCTGGCACCCACGGAAAGAAGGAAGGACAGACGTGACTCCATAAAGCTGTACTCTGACTTCCACATGTGAGTGTGTGTGAGTAGCACACTCACACACTCTCACACCACACACGCAGTTTTAAAACAAAACAAAACAAAACAAAAACAAAAACAAAAACCTTAAAATGCCTCTAGAACAGCAGAGAGAACAGAACTCTCTATTGTTACTACAACACTGCATCTGTCTGTCAGCTACAAACACCTGGGGCTAATGAACACCCAGGATGCAGACTGAGGCACGGCACGTTTACATTTTATTTAATCCTAATTAAAAGGCCACATGAGGCTGCCACCCTGGTCAATGAATGAGGAGGGTCCCCGCAGGCTTTCTGGACTGCAGGGAAATGGTCCATGAGGCGCTAAGAATGGAACTCGGTTCAGTCCGATTTAGGTAACCAGTGCTGGGCAAAGACTCCAAGAGTCTGACGTCAGCTCGTTCATTTCTACCATACTTAATCACTGCACAGTTTTGGGGGGAAAGTTTTCAGATGACAATTAACTCAGCCCTGTGAGCACAACAAAGCTTAAGGCATGTTTACACTGAAGCTCTTTACAAAGTACACATGGCTTCATCTGTAAGATGGATTCTTGTTGACGTAGAAACAATGCTCAAAGGTGTGGAGAGAATGACCAGGTAAACATAGTGCCCATGGGAGTCAGGATTGGCCTGGCCCTAAAACAACACAGAAGTCACTTAGGCTGGCTGTGCGGTGGTGGCACACGCCTTTAATCCCAGCACTTGGGAGGCAGAGGCAGGCAGATCTCTCAGTTCAAGGCCAGCCTGGTCTACAAAGTGAGTTCTAGAACAGCCAGGACTGTTACACAGAGAAACCTTGTCTCCAAAAACAAAACAAAAGAAAAGAAAAAAAAATTTTTTTAAATTTTTATTTATTTTATTTTACATGTATGAATGTTCTGCCTGCATGAATGTATACGCACTACATACGGCGCCTAGTACCTATAGAGGTCAGAGGAGGGTGTTGGATCCCCTGGAACTGGAGTTACAGATGGTTGTAAGCCACCATGTGGGTGCTGGGAAATGATCCCAGGGCCTCTGCAAGAGCCACAAGTGCTCATCACTGCTCCAGCCCCTGTATATGCTTGGGGGGTGGGGAGGAAAGAGTTTTTCTGTGTAGTCCTGGCTGTCCTGGAACTCACTCTGTAGAACGAGCTGGCCTCAAACTCAGAGATCCACCTGCCTCTGCTTCCCTAGTGCTGGGACTAAAGGCGTGCGCCACCACCGCCCAGCTCTATATATGCAATTTTAATTAAGAGAAATAAGAGGAAGGGGGAACGTGGCTGCTGCATTTTATTATATCTATTCACTTATTGCACGTAGGTGTGGGGGGGTGGGGTAAGCATGCCATGGCACACAGTGTGTTCGGGGGATTGAACTCAGGTCCTAAGTCTTGGCACCAAGGACCTTTATGCCCTGAACCATCTCTCCGGCTGGAAAGCAGCTTCAAAAATGACCCCTAAGGAGTTGGAGATGTAGTTCCGTGGTAGAGCGCTTACCTACTACACACGAGTCCCCGAGTCTGACCTCAAGCATGGGACAAGCAAAACGAGTAATGGCCACCTATCAGGGTATGATGGCATCTAGAGGCAACTCCAAGTGACACACTGCGACTCTGGAGGCTGAGGCCAGAGAATGACTGGAGCTTGGGAATTTGAGGCTAACCAGGTTAACACAGTGAGACCCGATTTCAAAGCAAACACCACTAGCAGGATCTCTACTGTAGGAGGCATGGAGGTCCTCGTGCTCACAGATAAGCACGAGGGGAACCAGGCATGTTAAACACACAAGGTTGTCTCTTCACAGAGAGGGCTATATGGCCCGTTTTCCACCTAGAAGGCTGGGAGTGGACATGGTTAATAGCCTGGTGACTTCTGTGCCATCTGTGTGGCTGAGACCACACGGGATCCTCCTCCTCATCTTGAGCCTGTTTTCTCAGTTAATCTATAGAGCCCTTCTTTATGGACGACGTCACTTGGACTTTACAAAGAGTGTCCATGTCGACACGTCTTAAGCTTTGTTATGCACACGAGACTGATAATCATCACCAGAAAACTTTCCACCAAATTGTGCTGTGCTTAAAGGTGCCTAAAATAAACTTCCTGGGGTCAGATTCCCAGAGTCCGAACCAACACCAGCTACAGAGTCATGTGGGACCAAACTACCTTCTTGCCTCTCATGGACATCACTCTGCTGGCTGTGGTGTTCGCAGGCCTGCGCACACGCTTCTATGACTCGGGACACCTTCTTCTGGAGGCTATTGGGTTTGATCATATCTGTTGCTTTTCCTAACTGTTGCTCACACTGTGGGAAAATTTTGTGCATGTTTGTCTCATCCCTATTTGTATTAATATATGAAAACTGTACACATATATGGGCATAGTAATACTTCAATGTGTCATTAAATACACTGTGTAACATTCAAGTCAGGGTAAGTAAGGGCTAATCCCAGGACTAGGACAGCAGAGGCAGGTGATCTCTGGGAGTTCCAGGCCAGTCTGGTTTACCTAGTAAGACCCTGTCTCAAAATACATAATTAAAAGTAAAATTTAAATTTAAAAAATTTTCTTAATTAAAAAAAAAAGTAAAATTAAAAAGTCAGGGTAGCTGGGCACTGGTGGCGCACGCCTTTAATCCCAGCACTTGGGAGGCAGAGGCAAGCGGATCTCTGTGAGTTCGAGGCCAGCCTGGGCTACCAAGTGAGTTCCAGGAAAGGCGCAAAGCTACATAGAGAAACCCTGTCTCAAAAAACCAAAAACCAAAAAACAAACAAACAAACAAACAAAACAAAATAAAAAATCAGGGTAAACATATCTGTTTCCTCAAATATTTACATCTTTTTGGTGAAGCCACTCTTAAATATTTCCTTCCGGTTCTTTTAAAACATATATATTGTTAGCTGGGCGTGGTGACACACATCTGAAGGATATCCATGAGTTCATGGCCAGCCTGGTCTTCATAGCATACTCTAGGCCAGCTAGAGCTACGTAGTGGAACCTGTCTTTTCCTTCTTCTCCTTCTTCTTATATTATTATTATTATTATAAAAAAATACACACATTGTTATCTACAGCCATCCAATGCAATAGTTCACCCAGACTCAGTTCTCTTATCTAGCTGGCTATTGCCTTTTTCTCTCTTTTTATTGTATTTATTTTGTTTGTTTACTTATTTTGAGGCAGGGTCTCACTATGGAGCTGTCTGTCCTGGAACTCAGAGATCCGCCTGGCACATACACCACCACCCTCGGCCTAATCTATATGTTGATTATACTTGAACAGAAAGACTAGGAAAAGGTAGGTGTGGTGTAGCCTCAGCACTCCAAAGGCGAGGCAGGAGGATTACAGTAAACTTAAGACCACCTTGGACTATCCAGAGAGTTCCAGGCTGACCTGGAGTACAATGAGACCCCTGTTTCAAAACAAAACAAAGACAAAACACCACAAATAAATCCAACATTCCTACTAAAAATAAGCAGCACACTTAGAGCAAAAGGCAAGCAGAAATACAGTTGAAGGGAGGCATTAGTACTGTCGCCTAGAAGCGTTAAGCGCCTTTCCCAGCTTAGACCTTGGCTTACATTGGTAGAACACAGCTCCATTTTCCTTGCAGCCGGATCCACGACAGAGCGCTCTTTGATGTATGTCAAGGTCCTGTTGGCTCCCAAAATCTAAGAGACAAAACAAAACTAGTGACATGCTGAAGTCCAGTTACTCTTTTCTTTACGACAAATGCTCTCTATCTGTGGAGACAGCGGGGAGGGAGGGGTCAACCCCTTGGTAGATACTAGAAAACGGATTTACGAGTTGAACACACAACAGTAATGAATGTTTTGACAAAAATTTAACCAGGGAACCCCGGGGGTCCTAGAAGAGAGGCTCCTCTGCTGACAAGAGCTCTGACGTGAAGAACTGGCGTCCTGACACCTTAGGATCCAGGAGTGGCCAAGGAGTCACAACAAGACAGCTGGGGACTCTAGGGCCATGCATGGACCTGGGTTCCGAGTAGCGGGAGGTCAGTGTGCGACCAGGCAGGAGAAAGCTGTCCTGTCTGTTACAATCTCCACCCGACCCCATCCCGGGCTCTTAAGAGCGAGGATGGGCTGGGCTGTGTCTACCTGAAATTCCTATGTAAAAGATCTGTCTAACCGCAGCATTACAAAATGTGAGGTTCTGGGCCTTCGCAGATGTCACTGAAGAAAGGCCACCCAGCTCACTTAACCCAGAGTGACTAGTGTCCTTCCCAGAAAGCAGAACGGGACCCACGGACCATCCAATCGAGGAGAAGGGGGTGCGGGGCTGCAGGAACCTTGCCCAACCATTCCTGGCATCCCTGGCAGTAAGTGCGGGCGGCCACGCGGGGAGGCTCACCGCACGCACGAGGACCGGCAGCCCCCACTCGGTGCTGAGCAGGCGCAGACTGTGCAGGCGCCCACAGCCGTCCACGCTGCGCTCCAGCACATCCACGCCCACCACGCACGGGTTCATCGGGTTTGGGTACTTCCGCATGGCAGCCTTGATCACGGTATCCCAGGGATGGCTGGCAAGAAAACACAATCAGCCAAGGAAGTGGCCCTGAGGCTGAGGCTCCTGTGTCTACGCAGGGAAGGCTGTCCGGGGTTCTGTCTGAGCCCAGGTCTCCCCAAATCTGTGCTGGGCCTATGCAGAGCCATCAAACTCAGGGGACCTCAGGTTTTTCCTCTTCTGGCTCTCCTCCAGCCCACACGAGGTGGAAAACTTTTGTGGGGACTTCTTAGCAGTGAGACAGGTCTCCCTGTCTGCAACCTTGCTGGAGAAACGCTGGCTGCTGTCCTTAATGCGGGCTGGACCCTGACTTCCACTGGCGTTTATAGTCCTACCTGACCGCCCAGCTATCCGGTAGGTAGCGAGGTATGCTGAAGGACGTCCACGCAGAACACCCAAGGGTACCCAAGCAGGCTTTTGTTCCCACCTGCTCAATGCTACCAAGAACCAACTAAGGACAGTTCCCAGCTGACTGGATGTAGGACATGATCGACTTTATAACGGTACAAATGTGTATTTCACAGTCATCGTTTTTCACTTTCAGAACAGAACAAAAGGACGTCAGATCCGCTGAAGTAGGCGTTACGGCAGCCCCACCCGGGTCCTCTACAAGAGCAGTACATGCTTTTTGACTGCCCGGCCACTCCCCCAGCATTTTTGACTCATGACATCTTCAGCCTGCAGTCTGGATTTGAAAGGAGCATCTGCACCTCTTTCAAACTTCTAAGTGGAACGTGGCTTGAAGCAATGCAAGTTTTTTTTTTTTTGGGGGGGGAGGGGTGTCTGAGTGTCTTGCCTGCACGTATGGTTGTGCACCACGTGTGTGCCTAGTGCCTGCGGAAGTCAGTTCCAGATCCCCTGGAACTGGATTTCCAAATGGTTGTAAGCTGCCATGTGGGGACTGGGAACTGAATTCAGGTCCTCTAGGAGTGTAGCAAATGCTCTTAACCACTGAGCATCCCAGCCCCACAATTAAAACCTTTTAAAAACACCTTTAATCCTAGCACGTAGGTGGATCTCTGAGATCGAGGCCACACGTGGTGCACAAACATACATGTGCTAGGTACACACGTGATGCACAAACATGCATGCAGGCAAGACACTCATACACATTAAAAAAAAAAAAGAAAGAAAGAAAAAGAAAAAAAAAAAACCTGAATTGCTTCGAGCCATGTTCCACTTAGAAGTTTGAATAAAGTTTGGATGCTTCTCTCAAATCCAGAATGCTGGGATCAAAGGCATGCACCACCACTGCCTCAAAACATCTTTATTTTTTAAAGATTTTATTTTATGTGTGTGGTGTTTTATTTGTATGTTTATATGTGCACCAGTGGTGTGTGTGGTGCCCATGGAGGCTAGAAAAAGGCATGGGGTCCCCTGGAACTGGAATTATCAGCAGTTGAGAGCTTCCAGGAATCTTAAAGTGACCAAGTCCAGCCCGGTTTGGTGGCACACACCTTTAATCCCAGCAGGGAGGGCAGAGGCAGGCAGATCTGTAGTTTGAGGCTAACCTGGTCTACAGAGCAAGTTCCAGGGCAGCCCAGGCTACAGAAAGAAACCCTGCCTGGAAAAAACAAAAAAAGTATATAAAGTAGCAAAGTCTAGGCACCAAAGTCACTATTGCACCCCCTGGCTGAAATACAAACACACAGCCAGCCAGCAAGCCTGGTAACGGAGGGTCTGCTGGGCCATTGCCTACAGAAGCTGCAAGGGCACAAAGCGCTCTCTACCGTGTTTAGGCAGACAAGGAGTTGGATGGACACCATTCTCAAGAGGCGGAGTCCCAGCTATTCGCTGGGATATGGTTCAACTGAGTCCTACCCCAAAGGAGGGGGGCTTCTGTTGCCATTCATTCGGGAATGGTCCCAAACATCCATACCAGAGTTGGCCTGGAACCAGAGAGAGCAGGTGGGAGGATGGACCTTGGCTTCCATGCTGTATTAGAGTTCTCTAACGGAAGAGAACTGATAGAATGCGTGTGTGTGTGTATGTGTGTGTGTGTATGTGTGTGTGTGTGTGATATATATGAATTTTTGTTGTTGTTGTTTTGTTGTTGTTTTGAGACAGAGTTTCTCTGTGTAGTTTTGGAGCCTGTCCTGGATCTCGCTCTGTAGACCAGGCTGGCCTCGAACTCACAGAGATCTGCCTTGCTCTGCCTCCCCAGTGCTGGGATTAAAGGCGTGCGCCACCGCCGCCCAGCTTATAAGAATTATTATATTATATTATATATAATATTATATATCTGTGTAAGGCTGGACTTTATCCACACACCTCAACCAGGGCAATAAATATTGCAAAACACTGGATGCAGAGGTAGATAAAAGAGTCAAGCTACAGAAATCATGCATATAATTTTGTTTTGTTTTGTTTTTTTAAGACAGGGTTTCTCTGGGTAGTTTTGGTGCCTGTCCTGGATCTCACTCTGTAGACCAGGCTGTCCTCAAACTCACAGAGATCTGCCTGGCTCTGCCTCCCCAGTGCTGGGATTAAAGGCATATGCCACCACCACCCAGCTTCATGCATATTATTTTTAAAGTACCAGTCTTTTAATTTATAGAAAATACAGTTGTTAAGTTTTTAATTTTTTTTAATTGTTGAGAGAGGGTCTCATATGTGTTCAGCTGGCCTTGAACTCCTGATATAATATATATATGAACATATATATATGGGATCTATTAGATTGGCTTACATGATATGGCAGACCAGATAGTCCCAAAATGGCTGTCTCACACTGGAGAGGCTGAGAATCTGGTGCCGAAGGCCTGGAGGACTCCCAGGGAGCTGCTGGTCTTCAGGCTGTGTTGGAATCCCAGAGAAGTGGTTCTAATGTCAGTGAAGAGATGCCATAGCAACAGGAAGGATGAACTCGCCAGCAGGAATGAAAGCAAGCAGACAGAGTGCAAAGCTTCCCTCTTCCATGTCCTTTGACCTGTGTGGCCATCAGGCGAATCTTCCCACTTCAAAAATCCCCGCACAGGTGTGCCCAGCAGCTTACACTTGAGTTGATTCAAGAGCCAGTGAAGTCAACAACCAAGATCAGTCATCACACATGCCAGGGAGAACCCCAGGCAAGGCAGGGTGGTAGAAACCAATGTCCAAGATTTGCCTAAATCATCCAGGCCAAAGACCAAAGGTGGGAATGCACATGAAACCAAGCAAGCAGTAAGAGGACCGGTTAGCCCAGGGGACCCACTGTGTGTCCAGGACTCTGCTTTTTCCGAGTTTGTTCTTTTGTTTTGTTGTTGTTGTTGTTTTGTTTTTAGGGTTTCTACACAGGGTTTCTCTGTGTAGCTTTGTGCCTTTCCTCTCTGTAGACCAGGCTGGCCTCGAACTCAGAGATCCGCCTGCCTCTGCCTCTGGAGTGCTGGGGGTTAAAGGCGTGCGCCACCATGGCCCAGCCTGAGTTTGCTTATTTCTAAAAGCTGGAGAGGGGAAGGTTTAGGGATAGAGTGATTAAGAGGCAGTCACAGGACCAGAAACTCAGCTATACCCTACCTCCATCGGGTCTTGAAGAGTGTGGGCCACACCCTGGAGGCTCTGGACCCGCTTAGGAGGTGGTTGTCACAGTGTGGTTGGGACATGACTAGCTCTCTCAGCGTATCCGCATTCACAGTGACGGCTCTTTAAGTGCTGGAGTCTCCCAGCACTGCAGGCCAGGCTCCAGACCACAGCCTGGTCGCTGCTGCTCACACGCACTCAGGGAAACAGCCCAGGAGTCTCTCAGGAGCATGTGATGAAATGGCAATGTCATTAATTTTATCATCACTCGACCTCTGAGGACTCCTTGACAATCTGCAAGAGAACAGGGTGTGTGTGCCAGAAAGGCTTCTGTGGAACAAGCCGCTCTCAGGCTGCCCTGGGTCTAGCGGGCTGTCGTGTTGGGAGCCCACCCAATTCACCGCTGCCTCTCGCCACCCACGGCTTGCCCTTGGGAGAACAATGCACACACTGTGGGCTCAAACTTGGGGACTTGGCAGATGTTTTCTGGGAAGCTAAGGGAGCGAGCGAGCCTGTCATGTTAAGGCAAGCATCTTTAGTGTTTGTTATCAAAGATAAAACCCGAGCTTTTGAACGAAAGCTCAAATTTTAGAAAACTTGTGTCCATTACCATGAGCCTAACTGTCCCATACTACAAACCCGGGGGGCACACACAATCCAAAGAATGGGTGCAAGTGTCTCTCGGGCGGGAGGCGGAGATTCACTCAGCAGGACTTGTTTTTCTGTTCTCTGCTCCCAGTTTTATATTACTACTTTTTAAGAAGGTATCATTTTTTGGTCATAGCAGTAAAGGAAAGTTACAAAAACATACTTACCTTTTCCAGCTCCCTATCTGTGTGAGGCTGGACTTTACCCACACACTTCAACCAAAGCAATATATTGCAAAACACTGGATGCAGATACCTCTACCGATAAGAGAATCAAGCTACAGAAATCCAGATATCATGCATATTATTTTTAAAGTACCAGTTCTCCAGTTTTTGAAAAATACGATTATTAAGGTTTTTTTGTTTTGTTTTGTTCTGTTTTTTATTGTTGGGGGGGGGGGGAGGGCTGGAGAAATGACTTAGCGGTTGAGAGCACTGACTGCTCTTCCAGAGGTCCTGAGTTCAATTCCCAGCAACCACATGGTGGCTCACAACCGTCTATAATGGGATCTGATGCCCTCTTTTGTCATGCAGGCATCTTAAAAAAAGAAACAGAGAGGGTCTCATATATGCTCAGCTAGCCTTGAACTCCTGAATTTCCTGCCTCTGCCTCCCGAATGCTGGGATGACAGCATGTACCACCACATCAAGTTTATGGTGTTGGGGACTGAACCCAGGGTTTCACACGTGGCCTATCACCTAAGCACTCAGGAAATGGACACAGAGGATCAAAAGTCCAAAGTGATCCTCAGCTCCATAGTGAGCCGGCCTGGACGACATGAAACTCTGTGTCAAAAAAAGGTTTACTATTGTTCATTGTAATGAGTATTTTAAAATTTCAATTGCAATTTCTAATACAGAGTTGGCTGGTTGTTTTTTAAGATAGGGTCTCTGTATTCAGGCGAGGTGTGCCTCAGTACCCCCTTCCTAAGTGCTGGGTTACACTATGCATGGCTTTCAGTACACAGCATACAAGTGCTATGCCGGTATACTTGGCTCTCTGATGTTGTAACTAGTAAAAGAGATAATCAGCAGTTAGGAGCACTAGCTGCTCTTCCAAAAGTCCTAAGTTCAATTCCTAGCACTCACACAGTGGCTCACAACCATCTCTAATGGGATCTATCTGCTGTCCTCTTCTGGCATACAGAAATACATGCAGAGTACTCATACATAAAAAATACATAAATAAATAATTTTTAAAAAAAGATATAATCAACATAAGCAAAAACCGAGGGCCTCAATATTTCCAAGAGTGTAAAGTAAGTTCTATGGCTGAACAGCCTAAGATCTGCTGGCCTAAGTGGCCCCTTTGTCAGCCACTCTGACAGATATCCCAAAGAAACAATTTAAGAGAAGGAAAGATTGACTTGGGCTCATGGTCCCTTGTCCCTGGTGCTCCTGTGCCTGAGACGAGACAGAACATAATGGCAGAGGCCATGCAGGAGAGCACAGCAGCTCACCTCGAGACAGACAGAGAGCAGGATTAAGAAAAGGGGTGGAGGCCAAGACATAGCCCTCCAATGATACACCTCAGGTGACTGCCTCCAACAAGGCCCCAACGTACATGGTTCCACCATCTCCCGTTTTCAAAATATTACACCACGGCTTAGGGCAGAGACCTCACTAACGAATCTATGGCAGTGGTTCTCAACCTGTGGGTCGTGACCCCTTTGGGGTCTAACAACCCTCTCACGGGGGTCGCCTAAGACCATGTGCATATCAGATATTTACATTACGATTCCTAACAGCGAGATTACAGTTATGAAGTAGCAACGAAAATAATTTTTTGTTGGGGGGGGGTCACCACAGCATGAGGAATTGTATTAAGGGGTCACATTAGCAAGGTTGAGAACCACCCTATGGAAAAGCCCTCGCAAACATACCCAGAGGTGTGCCTTCCTAATCTCCAGATGTCTCTCAATCCAAGGTAACAGCCAATATTGATCATCACAGGTAATCAGTATAGCAGAAACACATGCGTTCTCTCAATAAGAGACAGGGCAAATTTTAGCACAGTCATAAAGGGGGTGATTGTTCAGCTAATATAATCGTGCTATATGTGTATCAATTTATATCCATAGATACGTATCTCAGCATGGATAAGTCTCAAAAACACACTTGTGGGAGAAAAAGAAACTGCCAAAAGATCCTTACGAGATGATGTCACTGATTTTTTTTTTTTTTTGGATGATGTCACTGATTTTTATTTGGGAAATATATATATATATATATATACACATGGCTTTTGGCACAAACCTTTGGAAGGAAATTTACCATCTTGGCTGCCTTAGTTGAAAAAAAAAGAGAGAGAGAGGAAAGTGGACATCCTCAGCCTATCTGGAAGGTTAATTTCCCTTTCCAGCTCCTGGCTAGAAAGCAAGCTAGCTGTAGGTCCGTCTCCTCAAAGCTCTACAGCAGTGAGTGTGTGCTGACGGCCCGCCGGAGGCCTACTCCTGCACTTACTCTGGAAGGACACCTGGTCTCTGTGTGAGCTTCCTCCCTGTGAACAGTGCCAGCATCAGACACTGGCAGGGGACCTGGGACACAAAACCAAGAACCGACACATGCTACCACGTAAGAGTGAGCCTCAAAAAATAAAATAAAATAAGATGCTTTCCAAAAGAAACCAGGCACAGACCACCACATAGTGTATGACTATTTGTTTTGTTTTTGTGTATGACCATTTATACAAGATATCCAGAAAAAAAAAAAATCTACAGAAACAAAGCAGTGGTTGCCCTGAGCAGGAATGAGAAGTGCATCTCAAACATCAGGTTCTGTACCTCTTTAGAAGATAACAGAAATGTTCCAAAGCTGGCACCATGGTGATGGCTGCACAATCGGCAAGGAAAAAAACCTAATTTCTGTAAATATGCTAAAAAGCACTCAACTGTATGATACATTTAACTTCTGTCTCTTCTCACGCGTGGCGTGCGTGAGTGTGAGTGTGAGTGCTATACATAGGTGCCCTGGGGTGTGCATGCTTGCGGAGGCCCTAGGCTGAGGCAGAGAATCCTCGTTGAGCATCCTTATGTGCTATTCACTGAGGCAGGCCGGTTTTGCTAGCTAGCTTGCTCCAGCCATCACCATGTCCACCTCACCAAGCTCGAATCACAGGCCGGCTGGGGTACTCACTGATAGTCACTCGAGTTCTGGGGATCTGAGTCCTCACACTTGCATGACAAGGACTTTAACCAGGGAGCCATCTCCCCAGCCCAGAACTGTAGGATACCCTTTCAAATGGGCATCTGGGGGCCGACTGGATGGCTCAGCAGCTAACGATGCCTGACGTCAAACCTCAGCTGGACCTCCTGATCCACAAGGTCGGGGTTGAGAATAGTCTCCCCCATGCTGTCCTGACTGCCACTTGCACACTGGCACACACACACACACACACACACACACACACACACACCTCACAAGTAATTAATTAAATGTAATTTTAAAAGTACTAAAAAGGGCCAACTGCAGTGGTATATGCCTTTAATCTCAGCACTGGGGAAGCAGAGGCAGGCAAATCTCTGTGATCTCGGGGCCAGCCTGGTCTACATAGCAAGCTCCAGGCCAGCTAAGGCTACACAGTGGGACCCTGTCTCAAGAAAAGAAAGAAAGAAAGAAAAGGAAAGAAAACCCCAACACACACACACCACAACGTTAAAAATGGGTGGTAACACATTAGAGATTTCAAAATTACAAAACAATAGGATTTAAAAAAATAAAAGGACAGAAGCTGCAAAATGGTCAAAAATGTCAACAGTGGTTTCAGGGTCGGTCCACATTTCAGGACCCTGGGAGCAGCTCTCAGAGGGTCTCAGTCAATCAATACTCGGGCATCCCTGTACTTACTGGCTTTCCTTCTTCTCTGCATTCAGACAGTACAAATTATTATGCCTGAATCTTGGGAGAACCTTTTTCAGAAAGGCTGCAAACTACCAAAAATTACATACCACCCATTCTGAGGTTTCCCGATTTGTTTGTTTGTTTTTGGTTTTGTTTCTGAAGACAGGGCCTTGGAGCCTTTCCTGGAACTCACTCTGTAGACCAGGCTGGCCTTGAACTTACAGCCTGCCTCTGCCTCCCGAGTGCCTAGATTACAGGCGTGCACCACCATCGCCTTTTTTAAAAGTTGGGTGTTTTTTGTTTTTGTTTTTTCCAAAGGTGGATGCTGTAGGCTCAGTGGTGGGACACTTTTCTAGCAGGCTCAAAGTACTGGGTTCGATCCCCAGCACCATCAAAAACTAAAAATAAAGAAGTCGGAAGTTCTGAAGTCAGGTGACACATTTTTATTAAAATTTTACACTTTAAAAGGCAACGGATGACAAATCTGTTTCTTGCAGTCTCCCCACCTCCACCCCCTGCTCAACGAGAAGGTTCTCTAGGCAGGATCAGAAACTCTCAAAAATCTTTTTTCTTTGAAGAGCTATTAAAACACTCACTCGACATGGGTGGAAGGCGCCCTTGGGTCAGGAGGACACTGAGGCAGTTCGCCGTGTCTCCGGGGTGGGCTTTGAGGCATCCGTGTGCACAGGTATTCAGGACCAAACGCCCCAAATACCTTCCTCCCATCTAGTTCTCCCCCCAGCCTCAAGCCCCGCGGGCATGGTCGGTGACACCCGCTGCGCAACTCCGGACGGGTCGCCGGTGCAGCCTGCAGCCCCGCAGAGGCCGGGTTGAGGATGCAGAGGCCTGCGCCGCACACAAACCGACCGCCCCGCTCCCGGCTCCCCACCCCGCGATCCCGGACCCGGAGCGCCTGTCTCTCCCCGATCCCCGCCCCTTCCCGAGGACGCGCGGCTCCGGCCTGGTCCGCGCATTTCCCAGCGCAGCCCTCAGCCCGCTCACCCGAACACGTGCTCCGAGCTCCAGATCTTCATCGCCGCAGCCGCAGGCCCCGGGCGCGGGCTCGGCGCTCTGCGGGATGCTGCGCGGCGGCGCCGCGAGGGCGGGGCGCCCGCCGTACCGCCTCCTCCGTCACGTGGCCCCGGCTGCAGCGGCTAAAAATAGGGATGTGGGAGGCGGGTGGTACCCAGAGCAACGCTGCGGCGGCTGCGGCAGGGACTCGCGCGGGTGCGCAGCCCCAGATGGCAGCGCCAGGCTCTCTGGAGCGGTCCAGATTCTGCCCCCCGCCCTTTCCAACCACACGGGAACGCTGTGGACAAAGCCGACTGCCAATTCCAAACAAACAGTCTGGGAATTGAGTAAGCTCGAAACCCCAATGCTGTCGACGCGCGTCACAGGCAACCCACTAGAGACAGATCCCTCACCCCTTACGAAACAGAAGTAGCCGGTTCTGCGAAGGCTTTCCCGGTGAACAATATGAGGTGCTGCCGCAAAAGGCTTGAGGA